TATTAGGGCAAACGTAATTTATAAATTATTACATCTAATCATTCTCTGCAAGTATTTCAAATAATTATTTATAAAAGTTTCACTAGGCAATTTTCTTCTACATTTAGATCCATTACAATGACACAAATGATGGACACTTCATTAATATTTTAATGAGAAATTGATGAGAGGACACAAATCGTCACAATCTAAAAGTTTGGAGGCATAAACCACAAAAAAATACTTTGGAGCAAAATTCATCAAAAAACAAAAGTTGGAGGGCTCAAAGTGCAATTAAGTATCCATAAGATATGCCACATCATAAAGTTTATTTACGTTAGATATGTCACGTCAACAACTTGTTAATATTTTGACGAACAATTCATCGGAGGATATAAATCGTCAAAATATAAAAGTTTGAGACATAATTTATAAGGAAAAAAAACTTGAGGACAAAATTTGTCAAAAAAAACAAAAAATTAAAAGCACAAAGTGCAACTAAACCTAAAAAAATTGTAGTTGAATGATAATATAAACACTTTCAACAATATGCATACAAAGCTATTTACTTGGATTTTTTTTCATGAATATAACTATTAAATTGTAACAATATATTATCTTATTTGTTTGCCAAATAAGATAATATATTGTAACAATATATTAAAAAGTTACTAAACCATTTTTGTCTGCCAAATATTTGAGCTAACTTCCATCAGCTAGAAAACCCTCAAATCCTCCAATATCCTTTAAAAGAGCTACTTAAAATATATCGACTATCTTCTACACGTAACTACACATACATTGTTTGAATCTCATATATAGTAGTAGGTATTAAGAAAACACTAATGTAGTAAGATGGAATTGATTTGCTTCCCTAGCTATGTTAAAAGAATAGAAAAGGCTGGCATGATCTGCATGAAAAAAACAAATTTTTACATTATATTATATTATATATACATATATATATATATATATATATATATACTTTCTAGAAGTTAATAGCCATAAAATTTTTTTTTGGTTAAAACAATTACTTAAGATATATAGTTTCATGCTAAATTTAATTTGTCAATATACATTTTTAATATCTATATATAATTTTATTTACTATACTTTTTTAATCCTTATAATTTAAAATAAATTTTTTTAATTATAATATTTTTCTTTTTCAATCACTTTTAGTTCTTATATTTTAAAATTGATCTTTTAATTTTTATATTTGTAATTTTTTAATCCTTCTAATTAGTCCTTATTGCTATTTTTTTTATATAATATTGTCTATTTTTTTTATTGATGTAGTTGAGATTTTTAATTTGTGAAGATGAAAAAGAATGTTTCAATAATTCACATCACAAAAAATTATAAAAAAGAAATAAAATGTTAAGAGAAGCATGATAAATTTGACATCAAATATACAAAGTTTAATTAGTACGTCTATTATATTAATATGAAGGAGACAACGTTACAAAAAAAATAATAAATTAAAAGGATTAAAAAATTTTAAATATAAAAACTAAAAAGATTTATCTTAAATGATAAAACAAAAAATAATTGTAAAAAGTATAAGAACAAACTGATCGTTAAAGATAAGTATAAGAACAAAAATAATCTATTTTAAAGCATAAAGACTAAAAAGTAAAATAATTAAAATTATAGCAATTAAAAAGTATTTTAACTTCTAATTTACTTGCAATCTTGCAATTTTGATGCCGAATAAGTATATCACACAAATTTCAAACATTGTGAAAAACAATTCATGTTTTACACTTATTCGCTAGTGTTGGTTGACCACATCAATTCAAATAATTTTTTCCTAATTAAGACACTCATGACTATTGAGACACTATGCTGTCAGTTGATGTAATAACTTACAAGCAACAATTGATCTTGCCAATTGATATAATTTTCATGATCGACCTGTTGATCAATATAGTGACTCAATCAAAATCTCGCAAAAAATAACTCCAATGGTTACCCATCTCTAACAATCCACCAACTATATATATCCTAATGATCCACCAATGACCTAATTTCCTATCCAATCAACTACTCCAACTCTAGAAGTTAAGGTTATGAGGTTTGACCAACGTGACCTATATTCACACATATAGTCAAAATAATGCACTATTTTTCTCATAGAGAACAAATACAAAATTGTTTTTTTTTTTTTTTTTTATATGATGAATCAACACCTTTCTCTTCTTCCCATAATTTGTAACTTCATAATTGACCCTAATTATAAGGTAGCGTTTTTCGAACCATGAAATAAACACATTATATTATTTGATATTATTGACTATTTTGTTGTGACCATATTTTTTGTTCCTTAATAAAACATCATCCTTCCATATACATTGTAAAATTCAAAATTTTAAATTTTAAATCAAGAGGATAAGTAAGAATTTTTGAATAAAAGTTACTAAATTATTTTCAAATAATGACTTAATATAGATTGTACATATATAGTTTAATTTAGTACTCGTAATCACACAAATCCTTAAATTATTAATCGTCATTTTATGATTTAACTTTAATTTTTAATTTTTAAATTTTTAAATGAAATATAACAACATTTATGACTCCACAAATTATAATAAAGTGTTAGTCATCAATTGATGTAAGTTGCGTTACTTATTTCAAGCTTGGAGTCACTAGTACAAAAATAGGTCTTTAACTTCGGCTATTTTAAGGATTTTACGTCAGAAAAGGCTCTGACGCTAATGCGGGAGACATAAATTTATGTCGCCTGTGATAGACGACGTAAATTTACGTCGGACATTCCTTAGGACTGACATAAAATAGGGTTTAAAATTAAAGAAAATACACGCAAGAATTTACGTCGGACACACCATGTCTGACGTAAATTTACGTTGGCCAGTGCTAGGCCCGACGTAAATTTACATTAGCTATGGTGTAGTCCGACGTAATTAAAATTTTTTGTTAATTTTTGATATACCCAAAACCTGTATATATATAGTGCAAAATATAAAACCTAAACCAGGTAGTCCAGAATACAAATTCAAATTATATTTCAAAATTGAATGACAAAAAGAAAATAATATATAAATCTTAAAAAGCATAAATTATGACAATGTAAATCCTATTATCATAAAAAAGCTATAAAACATATGTTTGTCAATGCTATCAAACTATAAACATAATATCTAACTAACTAAACTTAGAAATCTAACTATTGTATACTTTAAAGAAAAAAAGTTGTCCATTATTCTCTTATCTTGATGATCTCATCTTCGGGCAATGGAGATGGATCTTGAAAGACCTGAAACATTAATTTAAGTGACATTAATATGCAATGTTAATTATCGTAAAGGTAAATATACTTAAATAAATTTTGATATGAATTACCTGTGCCCAAGAATCAGTAATACCCGCAGAAACTATGACTCTCATCTAATACATGATGTAATAGCCACATTCAAACGAGTCTTGTTGCTTATTACACTAAAATGAGAAACAAATAAGTATTATTTCCAAAATCAATAAATTCAAATATTATTGCCTGTATTAATTAATTTGCTAACCTTAGGGTATATGAAGTGCAATGTCTTTGATTATCTGCTTCTTCCACTAAAAATATTACTTCCAGACACAATTCTAATTAATTGAAATAAAAATAGATGTTAGCCAATATATATAATTACAGTTTTAAAACATAATGAAAAATTTTAATTACCCTTATAATTGACATTTAATTTCGATTCATTATCTATATATTAACACAAATTAACTATTGACTCGGTTATTCATAATTTTTCTAACCTAAACTACAACCCTAAAAAATTGATAGTAATTTCGAATAAAATCGATAAATATTTCTACTAATACGATGGTAAACTAAAAGTCAATACCTAAAAAGTCCTTCTTAAATGCATCTGGAACGGCCCGTTCTAAAACTAGAACGGGCCGTTCCAGATAAACAATTAACACAAATTTATTGCAACTGGAACGGGCCGTTCTGAAATCAGAACGGCCCGTTCCAGTTACAAAATTTTCGTGTTAATTGTTTATCTGGAACGGCCTGTTATGGTTTCGGAATGGCCCATTCCAGATCAACAATTCACAAATAAAAAATTCAACAAGAACGGCCCGTTCTGGTTGCAGAATGGGCCGTTCTAGATGAACATCTAACAGAAAATTTAAAAAATAATGCGTACAAGAAACTTACCTCAAACGTTGAATGTGCAGCTCTTAGAGACTTGGAGAAACGTCGAATATGCAAACAAACGAACGAGATAACAAATGAGAGAAACTTAGACAGCTTTTGCAAACAATGCGCGCGCGGGAAGAGAGTGAAACGTTGGAGCATATAACCACTAATTTACGTCGGCCACGGGGTCCGACGTAAATTATACAATCTACGTCGGCTATAAACACGGTCCAACGTAGATTGTATAATTTACATCAGACCCCCCATGTCCGACGTAAATTAGTGACTCTTTATTTACGAAACTACCACCGCATTTTTATAACATCGTATTTTCTTTATGCTGACGTAAATTAGGTAACGTAGTAGCCTATTTTTGCACTAGTGAATGTAAGTTACACATTCTCCAAGTTGCAAGAGGTGTTCTGATAAAGGTTAATTTGGTTGATATTAGTTATATAGAGATAATTTAATTTGGATTTATTTGCTAACCACACAAGTTACTTATTACTTGATTACTTTTCTTATTCTATATAAGCTACAAAAGCATTAGCTTTTTTGCTTCATATTAAAACATACACTTTCACACATCAACTACAACAAAAGTCTTATTGCACTAAGTAAAATTGGCTATAGAATTAGCCAATATTATTGAACTCAAAAGATTCAAATTCTCATGACGAATATTATATTAATCATGCGATCTCTTTGAATATAACATACACTTTCACACGTACATTCATCAAATTTCAGATTTATAATTCTCATCTCCTATAAATTCTTATTGCCACGTTTTTCACCTAGTTATTGTATTGATGGTAGCAAATACACAATGCAACTTTATTCGGTTCATAACAAGTAGACTATTAAATGGATCACAACATTATATTTAAGGATAAATCTCAATAAGAGATAAATACCCTGTTAAAGGAGATATTTTGTAGCTTTGGAATCCTGCTTTCACAAAGAGTTTTTTCCATTCTTCTTCTCTTCTCTCTTTTCCATTAATAACACTAGCCATGTGTACATCCATCATGAGCTTAAGTCCAGTAATTTCGTGCTCTTCTTTGTTTTCGTTTATCACAATATCTATGACAATTACTTTTCCTTTTTTTCCTGCACTTGAAATAGCTTCTTTAGAATTTTCTAGTATCTTCATGCAATCGTTGTCGTTCCAATTATGAAAAATCCACTGCAAGAATTCAAATAGAAATGGTGAAGGATTAGAATTTCGTTTTAAAGTTGTAGTGTACTCATCAGTGTATGGTTGTTATTTCTATTTGCGTATATTCTAGCTGCTAATTCATATTATTTGTTGCTGACTCAGCACCGATCGAGTTAGCACATGCAAATATATTCCCTCCTACTAAAAAAAAGTGAGTGCATCTTAACAAATTCTTACGAAAAAAAGACCCGTTCGAATAAATCACTCCATAAATAATTAAGTACATGTATAAGAAGAAAATAGAAAGAAAATATTTATTTTTCTTATAACCTCAAGCGTGTGGTTCAGCAGTATTAAAATAATATATTTTAATTTCCATAAAAATTTATGAAATATTAATTTTTTTAAAATATAATATATAACAAAATTTCAAAATGAGGTTAAACATTATATTTTTTAAATATAATATATCTATTATTATTATTATTATTATAAAATGTAACTGTTAACCCCAAGCGTGTGGTTCAGCAGTAAGGCTTGATCCACGCTTAAGCAAGGTCAGGAGTTCGAATCCTGCCTTGTGTATGCAATCGCGTTAAATCTTGGGACCAGTTATCGGCAAGGAGATTAGTCACTGCTATCGGCTCTGGATACTCTAGAGACGAACCAAAAAAAAAAATAAATATTTTATACATAAATTAAAAAATTAATAAGAAAGAGTTTCTACAAAAATTAGCTTGAATATAAAATAATTTCAATTTTTAGAAAAACTTATTTCCTTCACTTAGAGGAGCTTTTGAAATTTATGAGAACAAATCCAAAAAAATTCTGTCACCAACATGACAACGAAGGACGTGTTAAAATTTTTGAGGAAGACACAGAATACAAATTTGATCTCATGGAGGTCCAAAACACAGATTATTGTAGCTTGGTCTAATGCTAAAGCTGAATACAAATGTTTGACTATTGTAGCAAAAATCATATGGATTGAAATTCTCCTACAAGAGCTTAGAAATGCTATTTTGCACCTAGTGCTTTGATGTGACAACCTCAGCACTGTGGCTCTAAGTCACAATCAAAACACATAAGCTAGACATCTTTTTTATCAAGCAGGGAAAAAGGTTTCGGATAAATCTGTCATTGTAACTCATGATACAAGATAAGATAAACTAGCAGTAATCCTCACCAACCCTCAATTTCTCTGAATTCACTCAATTCTTTATGGAATAAAGAAAGTTTATATAACTAAACAATTAAGGCTAGTAAATCTTTGTTTATGCATACATACCTTAAATAGAACTGCATCAGCCTTGGGAATAGATTTAAACATGTCCCCACCAACATATGTCAAATTGTTTCTTCCTGACAAGTTCTCTACAACGTGTGGACGATCCAACACAATGCATTTCAAGTTAGGAAATGTCTCACAGATAATCTTGGCTGTGATTCCAGTTCCACCACCAACATCCACAATGGATTCCAGTCCTTCAAACGCCTTGCAATCTCTCAACGCCAAGTTCATCATCTGAGAATCACTAGCCATTGCTTCATTGAATAACTTGTTAAATGCGGGGTTTTTGTTAAGAAAGTCCCACAAAGGTGATCCTAAGGAGATATTAAATAGTGTGAGATCATCCTCATAAGTCCACTTCTTCAACTGATGGAATGAATCTGCAAAAGTTGGGTTAAGAAGACACTCAACCATTGGTGCTAGACAAAGGTCACTGCCTTTGACAAGAAGCTCTGATGCAGCAGTGAGAGCATATGCTTCCTTTTCTTCTACGTTGTCATGGATTCTTACTATCTCAAAGAAACCTTTGTGTGCTAGGTAGTGCATGAGACTCTGGACACCACTAACTTTAGTTGGTGGAACTTGTAGAGTTGACACCAACTCTGGAAACGTGATGGGTTGACCATGGTTATGGATTATGTCTGGAATGCCAAGCTCAGCCATCCATTTAAGACACATAGCGTCTACTAGGCCATACAAATTTCTGTACAAGAGAACTTGACCTTGAAATATCTCACTTGTTTTACTGCCAGTATTTGAAGCCATAATTGTTTTTGCTTGTGAATTTAGTTTTTAGTTTTGTGTTATGGCGTTTCAGAATAATTTGCTGCTCTTTATATAAAGTTTCAAAAGGAAAACTGATATTCTAGAATCTCTAATTTTTTAATATACTACAGTTTCTAAATGAAATTGTACCTAACTTATTTGACTTTAAAGAATGCTAATTTTAATATACTACCGTTTCTAAATGAAAGTGTACCTAAATTATTAAATAAATAAAATAAAATTTATTAAATAAGTTATATACATGTTGAGTGTCTTTTATGCATGATTTACACTCAACTTTTACTACTCTTTTTGGTACTTGTAGATAGTTATATATGTTATTTTACCTCCTAAATTGGAAAAATCAAAGTATATTAAAAGGATAGAAGAGTAGTAGCAAAATCTTAATGTTTTCCCTCCATTTTTGTAGAAAAATTGAGAAGACAAAGTTCCACAGCCATAGCTGTGGTTCTGGAGCTATAGCTGTGGAAATCTGGGGAGAAATTTTGAAGGCCAGAAACTTGCAGCTATAGCTGTGGTTCTGCAGCTATAGCTGTGGAAATCTGGAATTCTCATTTTTGGTTCCAGAGACTTGAAGCTATAGCTGTGGATCTGGAGCTCGAGCTGTGGAAATCTGAAATACAATTTGAAGCTCCAGAGAGTTGAAGCTAAAGCTGTGAACTCAAAGCTAAAGCCATGGAGCACCCAGGACCCAACAAAAACTCCAGAGATCCACAGCCATAGCTGTGGCTTCACAGCTGCAGCGCTGGAGGTTCCTTAAGCTTGAAGGAGTTGCCACAGCTATAGCTGTGAAACCACAGCTGCAGCTTTGGAGGTTTCTTCACCCTGAAGGACTCTCCACATCCATAGCCATAGCCGTGGATCTACAACTGCAGCCGTGGGAGGAAAAATCACTCTTTGCCCCTGTTTTGAAGCTCATATAAAAGGGGAAAAATGAAGAATCAGGGGTATCACGAAAATACAGAGAAAGAAACAGATTGAGGGACGTGAAGAAGGAAGAACAAAGGGAAGAACAAAGATTTGGAAGCTGAATCCTTTGGGATCGAAGATCAACTCCATTTCTTCATCCTTTACTTTGTAATCTCTTCTTTTACTTCTTAGATCTTGTAATGGCCATATGTGGCTAAACTCATTAAGGATTGGTTGGATGTAACTACTAACTCCTCTTCTTCTTAAATATATGCATTTTGATCTCATTATTTGTGCTTGATTCTTCCCTTAATGCTTATATCGGCTTGATCACCCGTTGTATGATTTTTGGCTTTTGAATCCAGTTGGAAAACGTTTTCGAAAACCCGAACTGAATCTTGCACCTAATCATTTCTTGTTCTAGGAATAGACTTGATTTGGTTAGTCACATTGTTCAAGTCATTGTTCTTAATGCGAAGTGTTAAACTCAAAACATAGAGGAATCATGTTTTGAGCTTAATGACTTTAGGATTCAACCTTGAGGAATCTTGTTGAATTACTTAATGAACGTGGAAATAATGGAATTAGAATCGCATTTATTTTAAGAAGATCTACGAGTTAGCAAGTGCTCCTGAACCAATCCTTGTTTCTTAACCATTGTCTTTACTACATTTATTTTATTGTGTGGTTCTACCCTATCTTCACTCATTTGCAATCATAACAATATTCTCATTTAAATCATTAGAGCAAGAATTACTAAACACTCAAATCTCTGAGGACGATATTTGAATACTACTTCGAAACTTGGTTCACTTGCCAAGTGGAGGGTTTGCGAAAATCCTCATCAATACACTTTTATATATATACATGTAAAAAAATTTATATATATATATATATATATATAAATTGTATGTTTAATATTAAACATTATATGATTAAATATGAAAAATAATATTTTATCAAAACACACCAATTTATGTAGATAATTCTTAAAATATTTTATTAATAAAATCAATTAAATAATATCTTAAAACTTAGATATCACCTTAATTTAGTGTATATATATATATAATATCATATAATAAAAAATATTTTATTTAAATATTTAAAAAGATATTTCATTAACTTCCCTTATTAAATACTTAATATATGTGTTTGATTTTATTATTCTTTTATATTATTTTAATAACTTTAAAAATATTTAAATGATTAAAGTATTTATTTTAAATATATAATTAATTTTCTAAAATTTAAAAATATTTTTCAAATAATAATTAAATATATAAATCTAAGAGATAATTTTTTAAAACATTTAGCATACGGAATATTTTTACATTTCTTAAAGATAAAATCTTAATTTTTCATATTTGGTAGCTATTTATAAAAAAAATTTTAGAAATATAATTTTTCGAGAACCATTTTTATCTCACTTTTTCATAAAAATATTTTTATAGGAGAAGGTGGGAATCTAATTTTTCCAAGAGAAAATTTTTATGTATATAAAAAGAACACAACATTCATTTTTTTTAAAAAAAATATCTCTCTCTTCTTCTATTTCTCTTTCTCGTTCTATCTCTCTCATTCTCACTTTCACTCTCCCTCTCTTCCTCTCTCCTTGTTTCCCTCTCCCCCTCCCTTCTCTTTCTCTCTGCTCCCTCCCATATCCCTATTTCTCTCTCTCTTTTTATATTTAATTATTTTTTAGTCTTGTCAATTTTAATAATATTATTAAAATTTATTTTATTTTTACATTTTAATCATTTAATGGTATTTGTTAACATTTTTTTATTTTTATTTTTATTTTTCTATTTGAATGAAATAAAATAATATATTTTATTCTTCTTATTTATAATGTATCATTTTTTAAATTTTGTATTTAAATAATTTTAATAAGTTTTCAAAATTTTAAAATAGTTTAATATCATATTTGTAATAAGATTTAAATAAATAAATAAATATAATGATTTTATTTTAATAAAGGATATTTTTGTAAAAATATTTATAAACCTAGGAATATACTATTGTACCAAACATGAAAATATTTAATTCTCATGAATTTTGAATGAATATTCTTAGAAGTTTTTATGAGTAACCAAACATATTTTAATTATTCACGTGAATCATGATTCTCAAAAAACATGATTCCTGGGTATGAAAAAACTTTTATCCTATCAAACATCCCAAGAGATAAATTGTTAAAGTGTAACATTTATATTCGTTAAAGGAAAAAATTATTTATTTTAAAACAAGAATATGGGATAATGCAATAATTATCTCTCTAAGGGGATGGTTGTATTAATGATATTTTGGTATTATTTGTTTTTTAACGAAACTTAACAAAATTGCAAAATTTTTTAAAAATGAGCAAAGTATTATAATTAGAATTCCTAAATAGGGATGATGAGTAAATTTATACTTGTAAATAATTCTCAAACCTGTCTTAACTTTAATAATAAATATTCAATTTGATTGAGCACAAGTACATGTACAGATATGGATATATAATAGTCGATTTATTAAAGTGGGAACGAAATTGATTATGTACTTACCCGTTTCATACCTATATTTTTATTTGTTCTTACTTTAAATTTTTAGAAGTTTAATTTATTTTAGAATTTATTTGAGATTTATATAACTCTTATTCTATTTTAAATTTATGTTAAATAAAATTTAATTAATGAAATTTTATAATTTGAACTTGTGCGATATTGATTTCTCCTCTTTACTTCATATTTAGGATTGTTCTACTAGTCCCCAAATTCGTGACATTCGCCTAGTTGGCCTTATTAATGCAATCTAGGCTATCTAACATTGTAGGAACTGCACTAGATTTCAAAATACCTCTTTTACCCCTCATCAAGATATCACTTGGATTACAATTGCAACCACGTCTCTCAGGTAACCACTCCTCGGGTTTCCATACATTAAGAGTTACATGTACGTTTTGAAGGCCTTTGTTGTGGATGGGCATGCTCTAAAGGATCCTTCTATCATTCAGGTGGATTAGTTTCCTCCTCTGTGTGGGTGGATTAAATGCAACACAGATGGTGTTTCTAAAGGTGATCCTGGATTAACTGTTTGTGGTAGTCTTTTTCAGTACAACACTAGTGCCATCCTAGGTTGTTTTTCTGAGTTCCTAGGCATTAAATTTGCTCTTCATGCAAAACTAATTGGAGCCATGGTTGCTATGGAATCCGCCACTCTATAGGCTTGGAATAGGTTTTGGTTGGAATGTTATTTTGTTTTAGTGGTTAAAGCGTTTACTTCTCTAACTGTCATTCCTTGGAGACTTCAAAATAGATGAGAGAGCTGTCTTTAGTTGACTCACAGATGCAGTTTAGAGTCTCCCACATTTTCTGAGAGGGAAATTCTTGTGCTGACAAACTTGCCAATTTTGGTTTCACTATTCAAGGTCATATGTGATGGGATTCTGTTCCTGATTTTTGTTTGCATGAAAGATAAATCCCCATGTGAGTTTACCTAAATTTCTAGAAGGGCAAAAATATAAATATACGAAAACTTTGATGAAATCACACAACAAGACTGCAACGAATAAATATTTCAGGTTTGAATCTAGATTCTTTTTTTTGTTTTTTTTTTTTGGGTAAAAATAGAAAAAATTACAAAGATGGTTGTAATTAAGATTGAACTTAGGTCCTCATGCTTCTAACTATCATAACCCCTCCTCATCTAACCACTAGGTTAATCCTAGTGGTTAATCTAGATTTTGTTTTAAAAAATTGAATTTAGGATGATATATATTACTATATAATTAAGTCTAAGTGGAACTAAGAGTTTGTTTAGTTTCACCATTTTTAGTTCTATTTTTAAAGAAAAGAGAAAATAAGTTTAAAAATTTGTTTAATTTTAATTTTAACAAATATTTTTTATTATAAAAATAATCATTTTAACATTATCTTTATAATTTTTTTATTTTTCTAATAATTTAACTCATTTTTTTTAAAAGGCAAAATTTCATTTAAAATTTTTTTTAATCACAAGGCATGACTAAAAGAACTTAAAATACTATCAATACATATTAGAACACTTACAGCACAAGATCAAAATATAATGAATAATACAAAAAAAGAACCTTATCCCA